AATTCATATGTCTAGTTCTACATGTTTGTTGTGACAGGTAAAAATATAAACAATGCAGCCAATTGGTAAGTAAACAATATATTGATCTTTTGGAGAGTAAGCTAAATTGCCCACTTTTTTACAAAATTTTTTCTGAAAAAAAGTGGAAGGACAACGAAAGTATATGAGGTTTTTTTATAAGTTTTATAGTTATATAGACAGTTCTTCAAGCTTCAACTATCTCAGCAAGAGTCTTTTGACTACTATTTGTTTTCAGAATAGATCTTCTGATTTGGATACAAATAACTTAAGGAGTTCGTCAATATAGCAAAAAATTTGATATTAAGAAAAACCATCCAAGTTATGTCCACTCCTTGATATATCACATTTCTTGAACTTTATCAACAACAACTTATATGAAGATAAAAACAGTTTTTAGAATATCTTTCTAGTTTGGATACTGAATAACTTAGAGAGTCTATACAAAAAGAGAAAGATTTGATCCCAAGAAAAACCATCCAAAAAATGCCTGCTCCTTGGTATTTCATATCTTCAGACTTCATCGACAACTGCTTTACTCCAAGGTAGAACTGAGAAGTATTTGTCTTGGACATTTCTATATCATTTTTCTGTAGTTTAGTTTTTTGTTGTTGTTGTCAAAAGGATCATTAGAAAGAGTTTTTGTTAATTATATACAAATTTATATCAATCTCAAGATCTAATAATTAGGTTTTAATATTTTGAACTTGTTAGAATTCTCTAACTAAGAGAATTATTTTGGTAGTTATTCAATTTGGTTTAGTAAATCAAAAGTTATTAGTTATTAATTTTATATATTTAATATTACTGTATATGTACAGTATATACTACAGTCAACTTTCTCTAAATGCATAATATCAGGATCATAGTAAAAATTAAGAAAATATGCATTTAAAGAGGTTATGCATTTAGGGAGGTAAAAATCTATAAGTATTATATTAATTGGGCCCAAAAAAAGGCATGCATTTAGGGAGGTTTTTCATATATATGCATTTAGAAAGGTGCATTTAGAGAGGTTTGACTGTATATAATATGAAATTTAGCTAATAAGAGTATCTGGTAGTGGGTGAATAGGTCTAACCTTGGACAATTTATTAATAAATCCTAATTAGCTGATTTCTAAAAGCCTCCTAATAATATAATGAATATATAATTTATAAAAAATTTTTTGTTTTAAAAATTTTAAGTTTACTTTATACTATTTCTTGATATAAGAGAAGACAGAATTTGTTACTAATTAGGATATATCTTGTGCAAGAAAATCTGTTATAAATATTTATATCTGCTATTAAAAGTTTGTAATTCAGAATAATTTTATATTTGGTATTAGTATCTACAATTTTATATATTGAATTTAAGATTATTGATTTGGATAAACTAATACTAATAAAATTACTAAGCACTAATTAAATCAGATTAGACTTTACTAGGTGTTAATTAGAGATACAAGTAAATTATCCTAATGATATTATAGTTTAGACTGTAATTAGCTAAAACTTATATTATAACTAGTTATAGTAATAATTAAGATAATTTTCTTGCATCTCTAATATTGAAAGTATAAGTATTACATAAACTTTGGAGTACTTAAAATTTATAAATCACATATATAAATAAAAATTTTATATTAATTACTAATAAAAAAAAATTGTGATATGAAATTTTTATAAATATGCTAAATAGTTTATTATTATTATTATTATTTTATTAACTAGCCTCTTTGGCATAGGTGTTTTTATTTAAGTATATTAAGGTAAGAGATTTATAATGAAACCCTGATTACATTAGAAAATACAACTAGCCACATATGCAACTTTTGATTGTCTATTTAAGTAATCCGCATATAAATAACTATACATTATAGGTTCTATACTAGCTGTTATATCTATAATTCAACTAGAGAATTACCTATTTAAACTCTCTGTAATGCAACCAAACCCTCACTTGTTATCACTAAAACATCTTCTCTACATTTGTCAGTCAAGAAGTACCAAATGCTTGCTATAAGCTTAGAACTAATTTATCCTCAAAGCATTGTTGCTAAAGCTTTCTATACCTACAATTTGGCTAACCTAGACTTCAATAACTTATACCAAGTTCCAAAACAAGTACTTGTGAGCCAAAGCCACTACTATTACCTACTTCTGCTCTTGTAGAGTTCATTTAAACCCAGCATATACTTTACAGACCCTCTACTGTTTTATCAGTTCCCAAACTCCCAATCCAGATAGCTCAGAATGGCAGACCTCTTCTCCAGTATATACTGATAACCTGGTTAATATAATGCCTTGCCAAACACCTCAGTCTTATTCAGTTTTCAGTTCTTTGATCGATAATTCTTTATATAGCACTGTTAAAAGTTTGTGTTACCTCTCTACTCAAAACTTGTCAAGCAGGCTTTTATGTGCCTCAGCCTTCAGATTTACTCAGCTACTTTACTCAGATTTTGTGTAACTTATATATTACAATAAATGTTCCACAACCTCCTAGTACAAGCTGGTATAACCAAAGCTACAGATCCGATGATTTATTAGATTATATACAATTTGTCATAACACATTCTGTAATATTTGAATTTTGTCACCAGTGGGATTCAAACTCTTGTCCTGCTGCTTAGAAGTGCGACAACTTACCAACTTCACTAAGTTGTCACACCCATCTAAATAGTTTATTATAAACTAGACTTAGTTTAAAATCAAAACACAACTTAGTTTATACTTAAAATTTTTTTTCAGTAAACTGAACCAGAATCTGTAAATATTTATTAGATTTAGTTTTGGGTTTATACAAATCTGGCCTGACTTAATTCATTCTGCTTCCTATTAAGAACTACTAAAATTTATATATTAATTTTAAAAATAAAGTATACAAATTTCAATTTTATATAAAATAGATTATAAAGCAACTTTGTATATATAATATCATATAATTTATATATAAACATTATATGATATAACCAATTAGAATTAGCAATTTAGAGATATGACAACTTAGTGTAGTTAGTAAGTTGTTGTATCCTCAAGCAGTAGAACAAGAATTTGAATCTCATTGGTAACAAAATTTAAATTTACAAAAATGTATTTAAAAGACTGTATTCTATTAAGTTAACATCTGTAATAGTATCATACCAATACTGTTGTACTGAGAGGCAGTAGAAATACTGTGTAACATATAAATTGTATGACAATAAAGCTGCTGAGTAAAACCAGCAGATTGGAATACAAAAGTCTGTTTGACATGACCTAAACAGAAAGATAGCACAGATTTTTAATAATATTATCTAATGATCTGAAAAAAAGAAACCAGATAGCAGAAAAAGGAAAAACCAGATGAGATCGAAGTGTTTGACAAAACACTCCACCAACCAGGCTACCAAACAAGTAACCAGAAGAAAAGAACCCAATTGTGGATACTAGAAGCAGATCACAGCCCTTCCAAGCTATCTGGATTGGAAGTTTGAGAAACCAGAAGTAGTGCTTAATTTGAAAAACTAGAAGTATAAGTTGTTAAGTATGTACTGAAATTTGAACAAACTTTGCAAGGGCACAAAGTAGATAACGATAACGGTTTCGGCTCGCAAGTACTTGTCCTTGAACTCAGCATAAGTTACCAAAAACCTAGATAATATATATATAAAACATAAACTGTTCTAGTAGGTTTACCATAAGATCAAAAAACTCTCTATATGAAAATGTGTGTTTACTTTAAAAACTTAGCAGGCCTTAGCAGCAAGTTCCTCTTTAAACAAGATATCTGATAGCATAAAGTTAATTAAAGAGTTTAATTAATAATTTAAGTAATAGTAGGTTGCAGGTACAACATCTAATATAGAATTTAATAATAGATAAACTACTTCAATTAGGCGCTCAAAAGGCAAAGATATGGCTAAAATATACTTTTGTTAATGTAATATGATCAGGTGCAGTCCATGTGACTGTGCTAGTATCAACCCAAAAGTTTAATAAGCTATGCCAAATTTGTGAATAGTCACCTTAACATTTTTTTTTAAAAAAAAAAGAATTAGCAATTTTTTGTCCTATCTAACAAAAATATATAGTAATTTAGAAAAATTTAATTATACATAAAGTTGATTTTTTTTAAAACAATGCATATTGCACAACTTCAATATCATAAATGAGCTGTTAAATTATATATTATATAAATTTTATACAAATTAGTGGGATTTCTTATAATAATGCTCGTATATATACATACCCAAATAATTCATAAAGTAAAATCTAAGACTTAGTCCGATGCTCTGTACCATATAGGACTTGAATTGCAGAGGCGGTGCTTGTTTCAACTTAACTTCGGATACAATTGTATAGTTTATTATATCTTTTCCTGCTCTCGCATTTTGAACATAATTGGACATTTCTTTCGTTTCATCAACAACATATGGTCTGGAACCTTCTACTACACAAATTTCATATGGTTTTTCAGTAATGTGTGCAATTCCATCTGAGCGGTCTGCATTCCCTCCTTGTTTCATTATCAACTTTCTATATACAGATGCTCGAATAGCTTGGTTTCCCCTAAAAGAATCATAACAAATAAATTTAACACGACAATAAAAAGATGTTAGAAATGCTTACATAATACTTACGGTACATAACGAATATCCAAAAACCTCCACAGTGCTTTCTTTAGAACGGGATGGATGTAGTATTCATAAATTCATCTTACAGCATATCGTGGTTCTTGAGAGGATTGTTATGTAACAAAGAATACGCATCAAAGCTAAAAGATAAATAAGAACATTAATAAATTCTGGTAAAAATAGTAGGTATGAATTTTGTGGTTTTCCTGTCAGGGCAGAACAATAATACAGTGTTGGCATTGGATATATGTCCAATACCAACACTGCAATAACATATTTATCAAAGAAATTATACTTGCAAGGCTGGTAATGTCTTAAATAAAATCTCTTCAGTTTTCTTAAAAATAGATCCTCTTCCGGTTCCAATAAATTTTCCAGCCTGCTATCCCATTGTTGATAGGTACAATTCTGTTAAAATAAACAGCGATGATGTGATTGGCAAGCAAAAAGACAAATTAATACAGGATAGTACAAACAATATTGATACGTCTGAAAAAAACTCTTCAAGAAATTCAATCGCACTTTCCGGAAACAACTTATCGACAGGCTCAAAGACCTCTTTTAGAACTTGTATGTAGTCATCCTCATCTGTATATCTTAGAACGAACTCCGAAGACAGGGTTAGGTCCATAATTTCATTCCGAATTAATTCATTAACGGAATCATCACAGTATACTTGAAAACTGCGCACCAAACTGGCCATTTTCTCAGAGCATTGTTGCAGTTCGTTGAGAAGATTTTTAACCAGATTATGATCATGATCGCTCTGTGAAATTTATTGAATCATTAAAAGTTCTTGACTACGCAGTTAAAAGTGACTAAAGATTGCACAGTTAGCTATGTACCTACCAAACTAACACCATTTTCACGTCTTTCCTGCTCCTCCGCAGTTATATCTTCACCCGTTTTTCCTCGTTCAGATGTTTGTTGTTGTGAACAAGGCTTGTTCGTAAGGGAAGACGACGCATAATTAGATGAATATATATCTTCATCGTCATCCTCTTGTTCTGTGATTGATAAATGTTCATAAGGACCTACATAAATATTGGAAATTGCTATTCATATCCTCCATTTTTGCTATTTGTACCCCTACCCTTGTAAAAAAAAATATTTAACTGTATATTGTATAATATAATTGAGACATAAAACAATATATGAGTGCGTGAGAATGAAAACCTGGAAACCCATTTAATGATTTACTATGATCGGTTTCCAAGTTTTCACTCTCACGCACTCATATGGTCTGTACACTTATTTACATAGAGGGGGTATGAATAGCAACTCCCTAAATATTTCGTGAAAAATTGCAAATTTAACTCACCATCCAATTGTGACTTGTTCGTAAGGGAAGATGACTCATAGTTAAATGAATATACATCCTCATCATCATCCCCTTGTTCTTTGGTTGATAAATATTTACAAGAATCTACATAAATGTTTCGCGAACAATCGCAAATTTAACTTACCATTCAATTGTTTTTGTTTTTTTCGCCATCTTTCTTCATTCGCTTTTATTGCCCTCTTACTGACGACCTTGTTTAATTCTCTATGAACTTTAGCATTTGTCTCATAGACCTCGTCACGAATCTTCATCTGAAGAAATCATGGTTAGCCAAGAACTTTGTAGAAATTTTACGATTGAATATACCGCTCGTTTCTCTGTCAGCCACACACTCCAGTCTGAATTACACTATTTAGTGAAAAAACAGATTTTAGAACTGTTTTCCTAATGTACTTCCGAGCAAAATATATTTGATTGCATACATTAGCAGTTTCTTTCACTTGTTTTAAAGTCGATTGTTTTTCTGGATCTTTACAACAGTTGATAGCTTGATCAAGAATTTTATCATATTTTTCGAATGCACGAGATCGATGTGTTGGCTGGATCCGGCGAAAGAATTCTAGAGGAGTTGGATTATTGCACGTAAGCATCCAATTTATGATAACTTCCTTCTTTCCCATTTCGTGAGCTCAATAAATTTTAACTAAAAATAGTAATGAAAAAGATGAATATATATTGTCGAATAAAGTCGATTAATAACTGTGAGGTGGACTGTTATTCACTCAAGGCCGGCCTCCACTGGACGATGACTTGCCATTACTGGCTTCCGATAGAACAAGACAGTCTATCGCAGGCGCCTTGTGCGCTTAACAGATCCTTAATAACTTTGTTTTCCGAAAACAGCCGGCCATCCACTGGACGATGACTTGCCAGTATTCCATTACTGGCTTCCAATAGAACAAGACAGTCTATTGCAGGCGCTTTTTCATTCTTAACAAGGTAAATTGTAAAAACGAAACAATATTATAGCTCACCTGACTGGTCCGAAAGTATTGATTTTATTTAAATTTAAATTACACGACATTTGTTAACTTCGCGTCTTCGCGTCTCTAATATATTGAGTGGAAAAACGACACACGTTTTATATAATGTGATAAACCCGCCCAGGCCTATAAAATATATATATGAGTCATATATATCATATGATCTTTTATGATTAGAAAACAATTGCGTAATGATTATTTTTTTTTACGTCTTCAAAGTGTACTATATATATATTACAAAACTTTCGCAAATCCAAAAGGGAAATTAGCCAATCGGAGAACGTAAAATAAGTAATTTTAGTGTCACGTGATGATCGACGAAATAAGCCAATAATGAAGTTCGATTTGATGTAACGTTACACGATCAGAAATACGTTCGTTTTGTCAAAAATCGCTTATAACTCAAAATCTGCATAGGAAACCACCTCCTGCGCATTAACACAAAGTTTTTCTTGAACGATTTTACTATTCAAACCTACAATTATAACACTAAATAGGC